AATATAATCCAAACAAAAAAATTAAATATTTTTGTTACCAATAGAGGTAGTTTACTAATAAAGGTAGTTTATATATTAATATAATCCAAACAAAAAAATTAAATATTTTTGTTACCAATAAAGGTAGTTTATATATTAATATAATCGAATCAAATTACGTTTCGATGCGTTAAACAATGTATTTTGTTGTTACGCAAAGCGGATGATATCAGAGAATTCCACTGTGCAATTTGGTCTTGATATGAAATTATCAGAATTCATCTTCATATGTCACCATAACAGTAATATTCGTGCCAATAGATGCTGCAAGTAACATTTTATATACATATATATTCGCAGATTTATATTAATAAAAACTTTTTATTCGCATATTAAACACATTTGTGTCATACGACTGTACTGCTAGAGATGTGTATAGGAAACGCATACATATATTCAAAAAATATCAATTCTCACTAGTTGTACTATTCGCAAGAGAATCAGAACAAAAAATTCTCTGAGTTGCGTTATGTTCTTTTTTTTTGTTACGCAGATACAAATATTTGTTATGCGTAATGAACCCATTCACCTTTCGCTTAAAAGGGACAAAATAGAAGTAGAAAACTCTCTTCCATCGTGTGATATGTGACGTGTATTGATCGACGTGATGTTTTTTCTCATAGGAAAGTAACAACGTGCACGATGCCGACCCCGGAGGATGGACCCCGTTGCTGGTGCTGGGCGGTGCCACTTGCTGCCTGGGATCGGCATTACCTGCAGGATTCAACATAGGCGTCATGAACAATCCTGCTTATGTTCGTAGACAAAATCTGATATCGAGCACAATTTTTTTTTTTTAACTGTTTTCACCACAGTGGATTGTATATTTCACTTACAGCTGATGATATCCTTCTGCAACGATAGCGTCAGGGAAAGATATAACGTACAGTTATCTGGTCGCGGGCTTCAGATACTCTGGTCAGCCATAGTATCGGTTTTTCTACTCGGCGGTGTGTCTGGATCCCTGATCGCCAGTTGGCTGAGCGACAGATTCGGACGAAAAGTCGCGCTACGCGTCGGAAATATCTGCGGTGTCGTGGGAGCTGTTTTGTTCCTGCTCGTTCGAGTGACCAACTCGGTCGAGCTTTTCTTGATCGGTCGAGTGATTGTTGGCAAGTCTAGAAAAAATAAAATATTTAACACATTTTGCACAAACCTGGGGTCACTTTCAATTCGAATCTCTCTGTAGGACTTTCCGGCGGTTTGGCCACTTCTTTGCTTCCTATGTACATGACGGAAATAGCGCCGTTAAAACTGCGCGGCTCCGTTGGGGTTTTGTGTCAATTGGGCATCACCTGCGGCGTGCTGATGGGACAAATTGCCGGACTCAACACTGTTCTGGGCACTCCGGAATCTTGGCACTTTCTTTTAGCCTCGTTTTCGCCATTGTGCGCCGTTGCATTCCTGTTGACTTTTGTTCTGCCCGAAAGTCCGAAGTATTTGTACATAATCAGAGGAGAACAAGGAAAGGCTCTCAAAGGTGCGCATATAATTCCGCGAATAACTCTTTGAATTTCTTTCCGAAAAGTTATATCAGATTGTTGTTTGATCGCATTTGTTTTTGTTACTTGTCGTTAATTTCTTAGTTCTTCCGATATCTTTCAGAACTCCGTCGTTTGCGCAACATGGATATAATGCTCCTGCAAAACGAAATCGCCAGTTTGCAGCACGAACTCGCGACAAGATCGACAAGTGAGACGTGGAACATCAAGCGTGTTTTGAACGATCCGGTTGTGAGATTGCCGCTGTTTTTGGTGTGTTTGATGCAATTTGGCCAGCAACTCACGGGAATTAACGCGGTTTTTTATTACTCGAACGCAATTTTCGAAGTCGGTCTTGGAATTAACGCCGCTCAATATGCGACTTTGGGCACAGGCTTAGCCAACATCATCATGGCAATCGTTTCGGTGATGATAATGTCGTCATTCAGCCGAAGAAAAGCGTTGTTTCTGAGTTGTTACCTCTGCATAGGATGCCTCGTCATCTTGTCCATCTCCATCGCGCTAATTGTAAGTCCATTTATTTATTGTATATGTGTAAAATTTTTTTATTGACGTTTTTTAACGCGTGCACAAATTTCCTTCCACTGCAACGTTCGTGAACAATGAACATTTGTATTGTAAAAAACTTTTTTACAGATCGTCCCATTCATGCAATGGGTCTGCACCATCGCGGTGTTGGCGTACGTTGTGTTTTACGGTATCGGTCTCGGCCCGATACCGTATTTCATCGGTTCTGAATTATTCGACGTGGGTCCCAGATCTGCCGCCATGTCACTTGGCAGCGTGTTCAATTGGGGCGGAAACTTCTTGGTCGGCATGATGTTTCCTTCGTTACACGCGGCACTCGGCCCATACGTTTTCTTAGTCTTTGCCGGATGCACGTTGATCGTGGCGCAAATCAATCAGTACGTAATTATTGGCGCATTGTTTTTAACCCTCTACGGGCCCACCAATGCAGGGACTTATTACCGGTATGATTTTCAATACCGGTATTATACTAGAGATTGTATACCGTTACCGTTATAGTACCGAAAACCGATATGTACCGAAAACCGTAATAAAATACCGGTATTATTTCGGTATTCCTACTAATGGTATTCTTAAAAATTAGATAAGTTAATTAAAGCAATTTTTGTTGCATAATTAATCTTCCTACCGCTTATTGGACTTATAGACCGACAAAATATAAAGACGCTTTTTTTTTATAAACCAATTGAAGCAGCTGTTTATTCATGCTTTCTTTTATTACGTAGCATGACTAATGTAAAGTGAAATTTTTAACAAATTTGGATATTGATAAATATGTCTATGTGTATTTTGTTACTGTTCTTAATTATATTAATTATTGTTACTGTTCTTAATTATATAAAAAAATAATAGTAATTTAAATAATATTAAGTTTCTGTGCGGCAGTTTTTTATAAACATTATATTATTAAAAAGTGTTATCAACATAATGACAACACTTATAGTTTTAAGATATTACTTTAAAAAAATCACGAAAAAATTATCGGTAAATATGGGTAAATATACCGGTATTTCTGCATTTCGGTTTGCATAAGGGTTTTCATAGTATTACCCAAAAATATCGGTAAAATTCCGGTATTTTGCATACCGATATAAGTCCCTGGCCCAATGTAACTTAAAAGTCACAAGCTAATATATCCACATTTTGCCAAATAGTTTTAGTTTTTTTTTTTTCACAAGATGATGTATACGTATCTTAATTATATAATGCTTCTGAAATAACCAATAACAATATTGATGACGGTTGGCAGCACCGTCAACCTGAAACGTCAAAATAAATACCTCGCAAGTTGTCTGCAGATAGAAACCAAAGGAAAATTCGGCCCATAGAGGGTTAATAAAAAGAGTTTGTTTTATAATAAATATTGTTATGTTGTTTACAGACTCTACTTGCCCGAGACCCGAGGTCGCAACACGTCGGATGTAGCGTCACTCATGACCCGAGGCTTTAAATCAAGACCAAACAGAACACTTGCCGCCTAAACCTAAATTAACGCGTCATGTTAACTAAGTACTTTTGATACGGTTTTTTATAATGAAAAATCATACATCCCGTTTCATTGCGACGCGATAATCTGCGATAATGCTCATAACTCATTTATCGTGAACGTCAAATAATCTGATAGATTTTTGTGACGTGAAACATCCCTGATAGCCACCTGTCTGTGTTTTTGCTGTCATGTTGCCGAAAACAAAACGCTTGAGTTTTCAGCAAATTTAGAACAAGGTGAGTCAGGCATTTGTCTTTGGTTTGACGTGACACGTATTCAACATGTGTTGCCGACAACTTGCTGTATAATTGCTGTCAACGGTTTATCACTAACATAAAGAGCAACATGACAACAAGTTGCCAACAACACGTGTCATAAATTTCAGCAAAAATACAATATGTCGAAAACGGACAAATATATATTCAATAACACATCGCTCTGTGAAAGGGGAATTAATTAATTCNAGATTTCACTCAAATTAATCTTTGGAGATCTGATTTAGTTCGCCGATCAACTGATTATAACTCGATGAAAGGTACCGGACCCGGAAAACATCCTAAGGTGATGGGTGGGATTTGAACTCGAGACCTTCCATATTTGCAATCCCTGCACTCAGTCCGCAAGACTACTTGTTCCTTGCTAAAATATAATTATTTTTGTCTACTTATTCTAAAAGACGGTCATTTGTTTTCGACATTTAATGGGCTACAAGATAGAATAAAATATATGTCAACAGTTTTTACCAACCATACGACAGAAGTACAGACGTCGGTGTCTTGTTTTGTTATCGTCATGTTGCTCTTATGTTGCCGAAAACGAATGATAAAGCAAAGAGTTTTCTATAAATAAAAGTCATTTTGTTGACAACGTAACGAGCAATAGTTGCTCTTTAGTTTGCTCTGAATCCGTTGACACAAAATGTCTCAAATTTGCCTTCGTGTTGTCGATTACGTATGACTACGCATCATGTATTCAGCAAATACACAGCAACTAGTTGAAAACTTCAGCTCGGCATTAAGTTACATGATTTTGCAAAACATCAGCTTGGCTATTAGGGATATTACGAGAAAGAAAGAAAAACAGGTGTGTTCTACGAATTTTGTATATATGCGATTGTTTGTATTTTACGCTATATCTTCAAGTATTGAAAATAATAGCGTAGAATGTTGTTAAATGTCGTACACATAAGAACGATCGAAGTACACACGCGGCTAAGATTTTTACATTTATATAAATATAGTATACGTACATAATTCTAAATTTTCTATCACAGTTTTATATCGAGGAATCACTGCCAATATAATGTAACATCAATTTATTCCAAATACAGATCTGCAATGCTTATTGATGTTCAAAAAACGTGTTGAAAAATCTTACAAAATTCTCGTTTCTCGCTACGTGTGTGCGTGTGGTATATGTATCTATGCTTATTTTTCAAATAAACATAGAAATTTATACAAAAAGATTTGAAAATAACATTAATTTATGTTTAAAGAGCTATCTAATTCTATCGTAAAGTTGATCTAGTTTCTCGTAAAACACTAAACACAGAACTGTGTGTGGCGCTATCCTCAACCAGGTTGGAAAGGTTCCTTTGTACAGTCCGGTCAGACCTTCTGTGCGAAATATTTTGATAAGCGCGTCCCCGAGTCCTCGGTACAGGGCGCCTTTTCCAGCCGCGTCTGTTTCTGTATTTGCGCAACACATTCGAAAGAAAAAATTATTTAAAAACATGATCCATATGAATGAGATAAATTTGCGTTATCGTATGTTTATGATATATGTTTATTTGAAATTTAAAATTTGCGATGTTATTTTAAGAAGGTTTGAGACTGTGTCAATCAGAGGCAAAAAGGAAATCAGATAGTATCCGCCTTATCGACATTTGTAAAATTTACATTTGACACAACAATTGCTGCAGAACAGTTTGTTCTGCTGAACAGTAAAATCGCCAGCTGATGCCACGTTTTCTAACTCTGAGAATCACAGTTTTTGGTGTTTCAACAATTATTTTTGTCTTTTAATTCACGAAAAGGTCTTTTTATCTTTCGCACAGTGATTCTTAAGTTCTTTAACCTACTGGTACAAATTTTTTTCAAATAACCGTGTCACATCTTCACCTTACTTTTTTTTTGTCTGTTAAAATTTGAGTTCCGTAAGAATACACGTCTGGAATTATCGAGTTTTGAACAACAACGAATTTTGTCCGAATTTTCTATGGAAACAAAATATTGAAAAAAAGTTTGCAAAATTTTAATTTTACAACCAAGAACAAAAATTCTCGAGTTTCGAAACCTTTTTGTCATTATTTTAAAAACGTTCCAAACCTCCTTGAGAAAAAATCTATCAATGATAAACAAACTTAAGCAAGTAAATTGGCCAATGTGAGCCTAAACACGGTTAACAGTGTGTAAATGTTTTGCAAATAAAATTTATTCAAAAACGCGTTTGACGTTTCGATCCCCGGGGATGGGATCATCTTCAGAAAAAAGAATACATAAAAAATCCAAAATAAATCAGAAAAGACATTTGACTCGCAAGATGTAAGTTACAAACGTGTTGTTGAGAACGTGTGTACACGAGAAAACGAATAAACGTGTTGTATCTCTCTCACAGTTGTATAATGAGACTAACTAATGTCTTTTCTGATTTATTTTTGATTTTTTATGTATTCTTTTTTCTGAAGATGATCCCATCCGGGGATGAACGAAACGTCAAACGTTTTTGAATAAATTTTATTTGCAAAACATTTACACACTGTTAACTGTGTTTAGGCTCACATTGGCCAATTTACTTGCTTAAGTTTGTTTATATATTATTGGAGCCTTCACTTGACTTTTTTACTTCTATTAATGATGTTATCGTCAACGTTTGAAGTCCTCTAATTGGATATATATATTTTATATTATATACCGCAAAAGCTTTTCAACTAGTGTCTTTTGACTACGGATGTATATTTATAGAGTCAGTATTAGAGTCGTATTTATATAATCACGCGCATACACCGCATTATATTTATAGTCTCCGCACATACCAGGTTAGCATAATACAGTAAAACCTCGGTAACTCGAATCGCAAAGGAAAAAATTATAAAATTCGAATTACAGAGATTTTCGTCTTTTATATATCGAAGTTTTCGAGTAATAGAACTCGAGCAAACGAAACTTCGACTTGTAGAGGTTCTATGTATATGGGTTCACGTTCCTCGACTGGTAGAGGCTCCAGAAATAATTTGACTTACAGAGACACAATGTAGATATATTTAATTATAGGTTTAGTGCTATGGTTTAAATTTTTGTTGTATGTTTAAATAAAAAGATAGGGACGAGACAATTCAACGAGCTACGCCTGATGTTTGAGTAAAATTCTTTATTCCGAGGATTTAATAAAAAGACATAAACCTCCTCCCTATCTTTTTATTGTATAGATATATTTATTACAATTTATTGCAAATAAAGAAACGTATATGTGACACAACAGACTCGACACAATTGAGTCAAATAGCAAAGCGGAAGCATTTTGCTAAGTGTACAGGTTGTGTCACTTGTTTTTTTTTTCATTGCGTTACGGATCACTTCGAGTTAGGCCTGGTTTATGCGGGTCTAAGATTTTAATATTTCTGTTTATTAACAGAAGCATAACAGAAGCATTGAAAATCCTATAGTTGAACTACCAATTCCGGCCTGTACCTAATCAATAATAAATGTACCAATTGTACCAGTAATAAATTAACAGTTATTACCCGCATAAACAAGGCCAAAACAAGGCCTTATTTGCCCGCATAAACCAGGCCTTAGAGAAGATGCGGTAACAGAACTTTGACTTGTGGAGGAACACACTTTGAATTGTCAAAACCCAATTGCTGTCACCCTAAGCTATTTTGTTTAAAATATTAAATAAATCCTAAAAAGTTATGCATGAAAACAATCTAACATAGAATTTTAAGTGCAATTAATATAACAAAAAAAATCCAGCACTCAACATTCTTGTCTCATTTCTTTCATTTTAGGGAGTGACGGTAATAGCTCTCGCATCGTTCTTTTTTTAATTATTAAATTTATAAATAAAAATAGAGATTTTGAGAGGCGGTATTATTTTGTTTCTTATATCAAGAGACATCGAATAATATCAGATAAAAAGAAAAACACATGTTTTTGATAAATAAGTGGTAAAAACAAATTCACCAACGCCAGAGTTTGTTATTCAGGTGACGGTAATTGGGTCTTTATACCCTATACCCGGGAAAAAATGGATCAAATCTAAATAGATCTAACTTAAATCTAACGAGATAAAAAAAATGGAAAACTAGATCTAATCAGATCCAAATTAGATCTAAATAGATATAAAGTAGATCTAAATAGATATAAGTAACTTAAAATGAAAGGCCGATACGAGCAATAATTACAAGATGGACGTGTATAATCAATGGATTTATTAAAATGTCACAAACGTTTCGGTCCCAAGGATTGGACCTTCTTTGTATCATTCACACTGAAGAAGGTCCAATCCTTGGGACCAAAACGTTTGTGACATTTTAATAAATCCATTGATTATACACGTCCATCTTGTAATTATTGCTCGTATCGGCCTTTCATTTTAATTGACAATTTCACGAGCGAACTACTGATTAGATATAAGTAAATCTATGTAAATTTACACTTTATTTATCATCAGATCTACTTTAGATCTACTCAGATCTACTGTATTAGATCTATTCGGATCTGCTTAGTTCTGTTTAGATCCGCTTAGATCTAATATAATAAATCTGAGTAAATCAACTATATAGATCTAAAATAGATATACTGATAAATAAAGTGTGTAAATTTACATAGATCTATTTATATCTGTTTAGATCAACTTTACATCTATTTAGATCTAATTAGATCTATTTTTCCATTTTTTTTTATCTCGTTAGATTTAAATCAGATCTATTTAGATTTAATCCATTTTTTCCCGGGTATTTGAGTTACAAAGGTAATTTATATACAAGGGTCTCTGAAAAAAATTCGAGGCAAAGGAAGTTTACGTTTCGAATTAGAGTTTTTGGTAATCTGAAATGGAAGGGAACGGAGAAAAAATGTTGTCTTACACAGAGGTTTTTCGAGATAGCGAGGTTCTGCTGCATTATCACCTGGACAAACGCACATCGCGACAAAATGCTTGATGCAAATAAGAATCTTATAGTATTTAAGTACCGCATATGAGATTGCAATAACATTTATATCGAACTCTCTGTAACTCTCGTACTTCGGTTATAGAAAATGTTGATATAGATCGTTAAGCATCGTGGCCTTTGCAACAATTGCACGCCGACACACTAGCACTTTTAAGATATAAGTTTGTACTTACGGTGCGCGATATATTGTACTTACGTTGATTGTACAGTCGCGTTGCCAGAACGTCGAACGGCTGCATGGTAATGGCTACGCAACTTCCTCCAATCGCAGCGGCCAAGAAGGTCAACAGTATCGGACGGTCTGGAAATATCTAAGAGAAATTGAATGAACGCTCCCCGTCGTATCGCCGTCGATCGTGTTTAACTATTTTTGCACTCGGGAATTTATAGTTACAAAAGTCACAACATCATTTCGGGAAGCAAATGTTACATGCGGTAAAAATTTTGAATTGAAATTGCGCGACCGGTCAAGATGACTGGTCTGGTAAATCTAGTGTTAATGAAACTTTTGATGTTAAGCTTTTGATCTTCAACAACATTATATATATATATATTTAAAAATTATTGAAACTTTAAACTTTTTATAGAAAGCTGAGAAGACACCAATATTAGATAAAGCAAATGTTTTTAGATAAAAAGAGAGTAAGCGCGTATAAAAATATTGAATACATTCAAAAAGTTTTCAAGACCTCGTGAAAAGATTGATCAAATTAGAAAAGGGCCAATACGTGGCAAAACACAGGATGTTGGTGTGAATCAGCAAAATGTGCTGCCTAATTTTTTAATTTTCATTTTGTTGCCACTGATGAAGATCAAAACTTGTGATCGAAACGATTTGGCACTTGAATAAATTTTGCTGATTCACACCAACATCCTGTGTGTTTTGCCCTCCTGTGTGTATTGGCCCTTTTCTATTTTGATGTTGAATACAACTTACATCAAGCGAGTGCAACCAATCCGAGACCAATCCGAAAGTGGTCAGCTGCGTCGCCGAGCCGACGAATACGCGCGGCAAATTCGCATTCCATCCCCGATAGAGAGCCGCGATACCGCCCTCCTTCCAGAGAGACTTGTAAGCGTCCCACGATCCCGCGTAGTCGCGCTGATAACCCACAGCGATAGATTTCGCGGATTGCGCTTGTAATTGCGTCTTGACCTATTGGGGGACAATTTTCGACAAATACGTCGTTTTATTCACATGAAAAACGTTTAACATATTATTAACTACATTTTTAGGCAGATATATATTTAGATATGTTCTCTATCTTTATTAAACCAATTTTGTAGCCAAAGATTATATTTAATTAAGAGGATACTGGATACCGACTATAGAGAGCTGTAAACCGACGTTTCTCTTTTCACGTTCTAAGTCGTATTTGCTGCATCAAAATTGAAAACGAACTTCTCTAGAAATAAGTAAATTGCGCTAAGACAGTGCGCTAGCTCTTTGAAATGTCAAACTTCAACAACAAGTTTTTCTTACACAGTTTCCTTCAACAACCTCACCATATATTTATGTATGTGTGAATTCTTTGTAAGCTTATGTACATTTATGTATATTTACACCGTGTTAGCGCACTAAGTACGACAAAAAAAAAAATAGTCTAATGAAACATTCAGATTATGGTTTGACTATCTAATTGATGAGAACAACGTCATAGTGTGATGATGTACATCTGATACCATATACTATCATTATGAATGAAAAACAAAATTCAAAAAAGCATTATAGGGGTAAACACAGTACAGTTATTGGCCTCCCAACAGTAATTGGCCATGTAGTAAAGAAGTAATAAATATAAATAAATACTATCACTATATTCTAAATTACAAGGTTGGGTAGTGTCTAGTTAAAAAGATAAAAGTTAAGTTAAAAAGTTAAAAAGTTAAATAATTTTAACTTTATCTAGTTACATTTTTAGACTCTTATCTTTTAACTTTATTTAGTTATATTTTATCGGTAACTAGTAACTTTTTATTTCAACTCTCTTGAATCTACTATAGCCATGAGATTTTTTATTTGTTTGCATACAAAACGGAACATATTTCGTCGTATGATCATAATTAATTTTACATGTTTATAGGCCGAAAAATTTGACCAATCACAAAGCTCAGAATGATTCGTTTTATATGCGAATAAATTCGTACGTGTTCGAGAATTGAGCCAATAAAAACGCTGGTCGTAAAATCCAACGCAATATAATTTATAATAAAATATATAAAGTATATTTCTAAATAAAGTGTACATTTATTTTTTCCATTATATGTAAGATTAAAACACTGTAAGTGTTTGTAATTATTTGTAAGACTAAAACACTAAAATCGTGAAAAAAAATTTAACTTTTAACTTGTTAATTATTTTTTTTATTTACTTAACTTTTAATCAATTAATTTCATTATGGATTAACTTATATCTTAACTAAATAAAATTTTTAAGACCTTTAACTGTAACTTAACTTAAAAAAAAAAATTTAACTTACCCAACCTTGCTAATTTATAAACATTTTAATATTAATTAAGTTTTTTTGCTCCGAATAAAAGCAATATTATAGTATTTAAGAAGCTCAAAAACTTATTGTTATATAGTTTTGTATATTTATTTGCTTCTGTAGAAGCGCTTTTAATGTTGTGCGGTAAATAAAATTAAAAAATAAAGAAATTTTGATTATAAAAACGTCGGTTTACAGGTCTCTATAGTCGGTATCCAGTACTCTCTTAACATATTTATTAACATTTTTAGCGAAGATATGTTTTTTTTAGGTCTGGTTTATGCGGGCCTAAGATTTTAATATTTCTGTTTTATTAACAGAAGCATTGAAAATCCTATAAGTTGAACTGTACCAATTCCAGCATAAATTAAACAGTTATTAAGTACTAAATTCAAGTAAGGTCATAAACGAGCATAAATGGGTGTTAGGAAATATATATATATATATATAATATAATTATCAAATTACAACTACAATTAATAACTTATATAACAAACGTTTTAACTCTTAACTTGAGTCATCTTCAGTGTTAACAATATATGAAAAAATATTACTATTTATATTTTTTCATATATTGTTAACACTGAAGATGACTCAAGTTAAGAGTTGAAACGTTTGTTATATAAGTTATTAATTGTAGAGTTGTAATTTGATAATTATATTATATGTATATATATATATTTTTCCTAACACCCATTTATACTCGTTTATGTGACCTTACTTGAATTTAGTACTTATTTTTATATTACGAGCGAGAATAATTTTCTTTTAAACAGTTATTACCCGCACAAACAAGGCCAAAACAAGGCCTTATTATTTGCCCGCATAAACCAGGCCTTTGTGGCCTGGTCTTCTGAAGAGATCTGAAGAAATATCCAAATTAAACCAGTGGAGATAATTACCAGATATAGCGGACTGCCGAGCGCGGCGCCGACGCAACCGGCCGTGCCGGATACCATCACCGTTCGCAGAACGTCGGTGTTACCTTGCTCGTTGACAATCAACTCGTACCTCTGGGCCGACTTGTACGCTCCCAATCGAATGCCGTTGAGCACAACTTGAAAGGCCAAGGCGGGGACCAGTCCGGACTGCAGTGCGATGACGCCTTCGTGCTTGGCTATCAGATAACCGGCGTGAAGAGTGTTCTTGTATATCCTCTTGTACGTTCCCCGCGCCTCCAGTTCTCCTTGCAACTGCAGTCGCACCTTCACCACGTCCACGGGATTTGTGAAGAAACCGGCGCCAACCGCCGCCAGCGCGCCGATGGCAAATTCCACACCCGGCCTGAGATAAGAACGCAAAACACGAATTATTTGCCGAACAACAGTTTGCACAGAACACACACGTATCGCTTATAAATTATTATTATATATATATATTTTGTTGTCAATCCCGCAAACTGAATTTTTTCCTACGAATTCTTTTTTTTTCTCAATTCACCATACACTCGCATCCCTGGAACTCATCAGAATAGCGTGTGCGACTTATTTCTTCAAATCTATGGCGATCTTCCACTTTTCACGTGGTCGTGAACTTTTTTATTTCAACTCGGTTGTTGAGTTCTTGCGAAATTGTCGATGAAGAATCATATTGTACTTGCGCGAGTTTGTTTTATGTGAAATATCTATCCGTCTTCAAATTTCTTGATCCATCAATAGGTCGGTCGAAATTAAAAATTAGACGCTTTGATACTATATCTGGATCTGTGCCTCCAAAACTCGATTTCTGACAAATTCTTCATCTTCAATTCCGTTTGTGTAATTCAAAAATTGTCGCGCTTTCGAACACTATTGTTCGGGAAACATAAAGTTCCAAATCGCGATTGAAGAAACGCCGACTCTTGAAATCTCGCACGCTCTACGTTGCTGATGCGAATGACTTGCTCTATAGGTGACTGTGACTATCGTTATATAATACGCAGAGCCGGCTGGTGTGGATGTCACGTGTCACCGGGTGTAAGTCGGGCAGAGAGAGAGAGAGTGAAATCAAATCACAAGGAATGTGTTCGCGTGGAAGAGCAGCTTGCGGTGATAGAACCCAGGTAGCCAAATATGTGAAAACTCAATACAAAGCAAATCATTTGTATATAGATTAAGTTGCTCGCCAATTGCTGTTGCGTGTTGTTTTTATTTAACGCAACGAAAATGTTTTTGTCAATTCGGTATCTCGATATGATGAGTTTTATTATCAGTCAATTGTTGCAGCCAATGTTTGTGACAAGCGAGTCGGCAATATGCGAGCAATATATGAGCAATAATTTTTATTCACAAGTTGAGAAAAATAATAGAAAATTAAATAAACGGCTCGATGGAAAATTCAAATGGTACACAACCGCGGAGCCTTTGGTCCAGAAAGGAAGTGGACATTCAATATACTGTAAAAAAAAACCACAGTGTATTTAGGGACGTTTCGATCATTTATTGTTGATCATCCTCTCTCAGCACTGTTAAATAACAAAAAATTATAATTAAGTACAATCAAATACAATTAAAACTAAAAAAAAATAAAAAAAAATGATCGAAACGTCCCTAAATACACTGTGGTTTTTTTTACGGTATATTGAATGTCCACTTCCTTCCTGGACCAAAGACTCCGCGGTTGTGTACCATTATTTAAAATAATATAAAGTTTATTGGCGATGAGTTGTCGGGAACTTGCTGTATATTATAATTTTGAAAACTGTTGCTGTGGCAAGAACATACCGAAAAGAGGACACACCCTTTTGTTACATTGCTGAAAACATATGATCATAATATTTGTGGCAAGTTGCCAACAACAACTTGCACTCAGTTGGCTATCTGGGAAAACGTACGTATAGTATATGTAAATTATAAAAAGAGAAAATAACGCTTACGTTGTTTTAATAATTGCGTCTGATGTCACATTCATCTCTCTCTCTCACAAAAAAAAAAAATTCTTCACTCTTGTGTTTCCGACGAATATATAAATAATAACGCAAAGTTTCTATCGGATGTGCAGCGTCGTCCTGCACTTTGTATACTGAGTCGGCGGCGCCGACTCTCAAACTCCAGCGGAGTTTACATCATTCAATATAATACCGTGATCACTATTGCCTATGTTGGCTGACAAGATAGTCTTATCTTAACGAAGTCGCTCAAGTATGGATAAATTATCAAAATTCCGAAGTTTTTATAAAACTGATTACAGAGGAATAATATACATATTGCGTCATTCTTTTAAGATACAAAAGAGAGAGACAGAAACGTAAACGTATCTCTAAAACACGCGTGCGAATAATTTTGGAGAAAAAAAAACTAAATATAGTTCATCTTATGTACTAATATTATCACGAAACTGATATGACGATAAATATTAGAAAACGTTGCCCGTTTATTTTTTTTTCCTGCTGATAATGTTATCGTTACTTGATAGTAGTCCGTGTCAACTTTTTTCTTTCGCTGACGTTTTATGTTTACGTAAAGCAAGATTGTTGTTGTTATTGCGTAAATATCGTATGCTTGTCGTGAAAACGCATCGTATACAAATTTTCTTATCAATAAATTAATAAGAGGAATAAAACAAGTTTCTTAACGATGGGACAGCGTTACATAGTTAAGATCGGTTTTATCCGTTAAACTAGATTAGTTATTTACAAGGTTGGGTAGTGTCTAGTTAAAAAGATAAAAGTTAAGTTAAAAAGTTAAAAAGTTAAATAATTTTAACTTTATCTAGTTACATTTTTAGACTCTTATCTTTTAACTTTATTTAGTTATATTTTATCGGTAACTAGAAACTTTTTATTTCAACTCTCTTGAATCTACTATAGCCATAAGATTTTTTATTTGTTTGCATAGAAAACGGAACATATTTCTCGTCGTATGATCATAATTAAATTTACATGTTTATAGGCCGAAAAATTCGACCAATCACAAAGCTCAGAATGATTCGTTTTATATGCGAATAAATTCGTACGNGTTCGAGAATTGAGCCAATAAACGCTGGTCGTAAAATCCAACGCAATATAATTTATAATAAAATATATAAAGTATATTTCTAAATAAAGTGTACATTTATTTTTTCTATTATATGTAAGATTAAAACACTGTAAATGTTTGTAATTATTTGTAAGATTAAAACACTAAAATCATGAAAAAAAATTTAACTTTTAACTTGTTAATTATTTTTTTTATTAACTTAACTTTTAATCAATTAATTTCATTATGGATTAACTTATATCTTAACTAAATAAAATTTTTAAGACCTTTAACTGTAACTTAACTTAAATAAAAAAAACATTTAACTTACCCAACCTTGGTTATTTACACAAGATACGTGTTAATTTTGAGAACAAAAAAAATCCATTAATCTCAAATTATTTTATACATATAATATATACAATCATGTTCGAGAATTTGCATACAAACATTATTATATACATTTGTATCAATATTTATAAAACTAATATATATTTATAAAATTTATATACACTTTTTACACATAAATATAAAAATTAATTTCCTCACAGCAGATTGGAATAATAAGTCAATTGTAAAAAATATGACATACGTGATATTTCAATAATGACTAATTTCAAAAATGTTCATCATTATGTGACGGTTAAGCTTCCACTGGCTTTGGAAATCTTTGAAATTTCTTCCTTGAATTTTGCAATAGTTTCTTTCGCCAAAGTTAATTTTTCTTTCAGATCTCTCACTTCCAGTCTTATTTTGTTACGCGCGTCCATAATAGCTTTCATTGTAGATTCCTTTTTCATTTCAACTGCAAGATACACATAGTCGATTCAATTAATTAGTTATATTATTATTATTAAATTATTTGAGATATTTTTATCGCACATACAATCTGTATTGTGCTGCATGATGGTGAGCGACGGAAGCCTGCTAGAGTTTAACAAATGTTGCATCAGCGCCGTTGGATCTTGAAATACTATTTCCTCATAAAATTCGGATACTAATTTTTTTTTGCCCAACTGTATCTCGGGTATGGATTGAAACAATTTTAACGTGTGATATATTGTCACCTAAAATTAATTTTTGTATTTTCATTAAAATATCTATATACATTTGTGCAAATAAATTTTTTGTTTCACAAAACAAAGCGTGTAATTTACTCACAGGACGTTCATTTGGATCGTGAAAGTAAATCTTGATAACAATATCAAATTCTCCCCAGCCGGTTTCTTGTAATTCGTACGGTGGTTTAAATACAATTCGATTTGGATTGGCATAACTCTCGTGCAACTTAAAATGCACTTTTTTCACATAAGCGGACATGTCCTCGTTGTAATAAGGTCTAACATATACGGTCCACGAGTGAGTGTGACCGTCCTCTTCTCTTTTTTTGGTGAAGTAACGCGCCACGTTACCGTAAACTATAGGTTTCACAATAGTAAGTCCCTAATAAATAAATAAATATTAAAAGAGATAAAATTGATTTCAAGTTTTGTCAATTTTATGTTATATATATAGGGTGTCAAATGTGCATTACACAGGTTACCGTTCACTTTATTACCTTCACTCTACCTCCGGAATCCGGACCGAATTCGTTTATGGATGCCATTAGTTTGCACAAAAAAAAAAATCAAAATATTAATTAAGCATTAATTTAAATAAACTTCCTTATTTTCTGTGTATTGTTTTCTCTAAAATATTCTAACCACTAAACTCTCTCAAATGTATGTTTGCACGCGCTACTAGCGCTGAAAGTAAACAACAATTCTTTGTGTACTGCTGCGTTCCGACATTCACTGCCGGTGCGAAAAATCTATACTTCACGTCACATGTGCTATAGATTTTCAGTGAACTGGCAGTGAATATTGGAACGCAATCTATGTGTGTGTTTTGCTTAGGCCTGTTCTACAATACAGACGTGAGTCGTAAGAAATTGACCAATCACAGATCAATTACAGAAGAATAATCGATTGTGATTGGTCAATTTCTTACGAATTACGACTGTATTGTAGAACAGGCCTTAGAACGTATAGGGTGCGTTCAGACAACTCAACTCAGTTGCACAACGGTTGAGAGATAGTCACTTCTGATTGGATCGTACTTTTGGAACCGCAAGCAGATTTTGAAGAATAGTCCTATCATAAGTGATGATCTCTCAACCGTTGAGTTGTTTGAACGCACCCAAGGTCTGTTCTTTTTCCATACTTTGGCTGCACTAGTTCACAGTCTATTTTTTTTTATCTATATTATAAAAAAGATAGACTGTGAACTAATATATATGCACCAAACCAAACCATAGGGTGCGTTCAGACAACTCAACTCAGTTGCACAACGGTTGAGAGATAATCACTTCTGATTGGATCGTACTTTTGGAACCGCTAGCAGATTTTGAAGAATACTCCTATCGTAAGTGATAATCTCTCAACCGTTGAGTTGTCTGAACGCACCCTTAGTTCTAAGGTATTTTGTATTTTTGTACATTTCTCCCAAGAGCCATCTAACGACAATACGAGATACTACAAATCATTTGGCGCGTATCCCAAACAGTATTTAAATTTAAATAGTTTAAAAATCGCATTCACACACACTATAAGATATTCCTTGCACTTATCACACCCATTGTAAAATATAAAAATATGAAATTGTAGAATCTTGAAACTTTATCGGCCAAAATAAAAAGTCGTTATTTTTAGAGAAATAAAATAAGAAAGATAAACTCATAAAATTGTATTTGTTATTTATTTGTTTCTCATTTGCTAGAGATACAGTATCAATGTAATCATAATCAAAATCCGCGTGATTCAGCTGCTTAACACATATGAGAAAACACAATGTTGTATGCATTGGATAACAGATTTTGGATTGGATGTTAGCTTATTGTGTTATGGAAAATTAATGTCGCACAAATCTAATAAATGTATTGTACCATATCTCAATAGTCGAGTATTATTATCAATGTTAACGTCTTTACAATAATATTTTAGATATCTCTCTCTCTCGGTGTGGAATAGCAACTTCAATACTTTCAAAATGACGGGTCAAACGATACATTTATATATATATACATATATACACATATATATATATAT